GAAAAAAACAGAGATCCTCATCGAGTTTTATATACTGTAGGAGGATTACATTATGCTCATTGAAATAAGTGCTTGTGAAATGTTTCTTTGCTATTTTAAGTATCTGTCAGCAGCATGCTCTTGTCCTTGCCAAGTGATCAGTGCAGATTTGTAGCATTTGTTTATTATGAAGAACAGACTGAACTAACGATGTGTAAACTTTATTGAAGATGATTTACTGTTCACATTCCATAACAGCTGCCGGGATGGAAACTCATTAATGGTGGATGAAATGGGTGAGTGCTCTGTCTTAGGAATTATATTGTATTCTTTCCATTCAGAACAATGGCTCTCGAAATGAATTCCTCATGACAGTAGTCTGTTATATTTAGTTGACATACAACAAGACAGAAATTATTGTTAGCAATGTTTACATGACAGGAAGGATCAATGATCCAGAAAGTTGCTGTACTATTTACAAATGAGTATTTATTTTTTAGAAATCATTCTACAATCAGTGTTTCATAAATGGCCATCAACTGAAACATCACTCAGTGCAATTGACTGTTGCTTTATGGGCTATGCCTTTGTAGAATATCAGAATACTTTTAACTTTCTGATTTTCAGTTGAAAAACGTTTGTTTTTAATTGACTTGCCAGCTAATTGAAGCCATTTGGCTCATCTAGCCTGTTTGCTAGCTCATTGCTAGCTAATTGATCTGTTGATCTCATTTGATCATTTGTTGAAATAAGCCAGGGTATCAGCTTTAAGAACCTGCCTGTGTAGCTTGTGCCACTCCTACAAAACTTTGTGTAAAGAAGTAAAGTCTGTACTTTAGTTTCACCTCACCTTAGTTTCTATTTGTTTTCTTTGGTTCGTGTTTCACTGCTGATTCCGAAAACAGCCACTGGGTTGACTTTGTCAATGCCCTTGAGCATTAGGAAAGCAAAATAATGTTATTTAATGTCTTTCTTCCCCATGATAATAAAGGTCTGCTTCCAGCTGGCATGTCCTTTAATTTGACTATCTTTCCTAGAAGACAATTTCAGAATAGTGTGTTTTGAATCAACAATCTAAACAGTGACAAAAACAAGGAGTCAAAAATAGTGGAATATTCAAGAAAGAAAAAGTGGTGTTATTTATTCCCTTAAGTATGATTGCCATGTAAAATACTTTGTTAAGGCTAAATGAAACCTAAAGCAACATTACTGGGCTACAAAAATCAAAATATATTATACCTGAAAGCTCCAAAAAATGCAAGAAAGATCTGCAGTACCTAATCAAGTTACATCTGACTCACGCAGGTTCACTTGTCAATTTGCTTTCATAATAAGTGCCTCTGGGATACCACATCTCTGATGTACTGTGTGCTGCCGTGATGGAAGAAAGGTAGTGAAAAGGGTCTCATGATTTTATGCCACTCTGGCTTGTGAGATTGATATTAATGGTCACGAACTGAGTCCTGAAATTGTGATCGATGTCACCCAGGCACCATAACTTTGCTTGCACTGGTGTGTGGGGATGGCATGCATCATTTCAGGTAGTGTAACACATTTTGTTGCCATTGAACCTGGCCTATTACATTTGGCAATGATGTACAAACACATTTTGCAAGATGTGATGCTCCTAAATGTGTTTTCTGATTAGGACTGGCTGTCTAATCATGAGGGATCAAGATGTGCTCTGATGCCAGCAGCTAAGATTCACTTCTTTGGTCTTTAGGAATCTGTCCACATGGGGATTACATCTGTCTATGTTGATTTGCATGAGCAGCTGCATCTGAAGCTAGCTAAGAAAGTTTTTTTAAAAAGCCCACCCCTAGTTATTTATACTTTTTATAGGTTTTGACCAATCCTTAATGTCCCAGTGAGCAGCTGAATATTGCAGGCTAAAGCCTCTTTCAGACATCTCAAACAAAGCAGCATTAAAACGTAACACTTGCTACGGTCTTTAAATTGAGTAGACATAAAATGAAATGGGATGTGAAATACAGTTCATAATTATTGTGAGTATCACTTTATGCAGAGTATCATGAAACCCATATACTGTATTAATCAATTTAATGCCTTTATTGATGCAAAACAATAAAAAACTGAGAGTGCACATAAAAGTTGGTCTGAAATAAAAAGAAATCAGGTAAAACAGTCATTCAAAATGATAAAATAACCAGAGCAAAACGATGCAAGATATAGAAAGTTACAACAGTTGAAGAATCGTAGGCTCTAGAAGCACAGTGTAAAGTAAATGAAAGAAAATACACAATACAAGGGACAGGAAGCACAGCTCATGCACTAAAAGATCAGAGATGGTGCAGGACTGATAACGTTATGTATCCTGTTTCTCCGTGGGGGTGACCAGGAGGAGAATGAGCAGCACAAGAGGCAGGAGTCTAAAGAGGAGAAATAAGGAGAGATGAAGTCCAGAAGACAGGAGAGGAAAATGGTACTGAAAGGAGCATGTACTGCACAAAGTGATGAATGTTGCAGCCATACTCTGCACAAAGCGTCACAAATAAAATCCACGGGTTATTTTATACAGGAAGATCAGTGAAGTGCAATATCAGTCATCAGCTGCAGCTGGCTTTGCGTCTGGAGCACTGTCACTTTTCAGATACTGGAAGTCCACAGATCAGTGCTGCACATGGGAGCTGTGCTATCTGGTCTGGGAAGATTAACTGAAACTTCGGCAGGCCACGACAAAAAGAAAGTGGTCTCAGTGACAAGGTTTGTAGTAGATTTTGTGCTCTTTCACAGCCACAGCTGACACACATAAGGATTCTGCCTAGCAGTCTATGTAAAGAGAGCTGTCTTTTTATGAAATATGATACCTTAGAAAAGGCAAAGACAGATTTAGAGTAATGGCATTACAAATTCTGCCATGACTTGTCCAATTACTTCACAGGGATCCCTATGGGATCCAAGAGGGATATTCTCACCCAATCCTTGCAAAAGCATCCCAGAAAGCCTACATCCCAGGATTAAGCTGCCTGGAATGGGCTGTAATCCAGCAGACTAGGATATGCTGATTACATACAGGCAAGTTGACTGTTTTCTTGAACCAAGTGCAGAATAACAGTGTTAACCCCTCTCATGTTGTGCTATGATCAGGAATAATTGGGAGTTGGTGAAAAATCAGTGTCACAAAGTCAGTATCTTCCATGGTGTAAATGGTACTGTACGCTGAAAGCAAAATGTACAACAATATTTTAATAGATCTTTTTGCTATACATACAATGGAATACTGAATTTGTAAAAATGATAAGGAGCAAGGCAACACTATATAAGTTATTTCTCAATGTTTTGTTTTCCTGATAGCAAAAAAAGTGTTAAAAGATAAATGCAACCATCGTGATGGAGGAGATACTTTTTTCTGATGGACATTTCTGTGAAAATGTATTTAGAGTATTCATTTTCTAATATTATAATAAATAGTATTTTGCTTCAAAGTCTCACCAGGACAAACAGGCTGCAAATTGATAGATGGATTGGAAAAAAAATCTTTTTTTTTTACTATTCGGCCAGCGTCGCTCCAAGCAATCTACACCATTAAAAGGAAGATTCAGATGAAATGAAAAGCTTCATCTCTGCTAATACCGTCTGAGAAAATTGTCTCACTCACCTGATTCACCAATATTTAATCTAAAAAAAAAATGAATGGAGAGCATGCTGTGTAGTAAATGAGGCTTATTAAAGATCATCCCGCTGTGAAATTTTCACTGAAAACTGCTAGAGGGCTGTGCAAGACATTCAGGGAGATGGACAGTCCCCACTCAGTGTTTGGAAGCTGTTTCTCAAAGAAATAGTGATGTTTTACTGCCTGCTAGCATTATTAAAAAGGAGCTGCAGCAGCAGTCTACCCAGAACTAGCTTGAATTCTGGTCTAAATATTAATTAAAAAAAGATGAGGTACTGAATTACATACGAATAATATAAAAATGAATGGAGATAAACAGAAATTTGGCATTAAGTAGGAAATGATCGCTGTCTACCATTTATGATGGGTAACAAACATTCAGATACCATACAGTCAACAAATGTCATTGAAATATATAATTGCAAAATTCCAAAAACTTTGTTCAGTTGAATAAATCAAACATGACTGCGCCCAAAGAAGGCTCCGAAGCCAAAACACTGCGTCTCTTCTCCTGGAATAAACCTTCACCTATTCCTTTGCATGCTGACACAGCTACCTACTTGAATCAATGCATTAACTAACTTTGCTGCAGTTATCCCCAATAGCACACTAATGCTGTTATCATGCAATTCCGTAGGTTTTCTTATACATCTTGCTAATGTACGTACCTTGGAGTGGGGAATTTACTACTTAAACTATAGCTTTAACACTTATCCCCACCTAGTGGATCCAACGTGCAATTGAGGAAATTCTTTAGCAGAAGAAATAGGATTTTCAGAGTTAATAATAATAATAATAATAATTGCTTACACTTATATAGCGCTTTTCTGGACACTCCACTCAATGCGCTTTACAGGTAATGGGGACTCCCCTCCACCACCACCAATGTGCAGCATCCACCTGGCCATAGTGCGCCAGAACGCTCACCACACATCAGCTATTAGTGGGGAGTAATGTAGCCAATTCATAGAGGGGGATTATTAGGAGGCCATGATTGGTAAGGGCCAATTGGAAATTTGGCCAGGACACCGGGGTTACACCCCTACTCTTTTCGAGAAGCGCCCTGGGATTTTTAATGACCACATGAGAGTCAGGACCTCGGTTTTACGTCTCATCCGAAGGACGGCGCATGTCTACAGTATAGTGTCCCCGTCACTATACTGGGGCATTAGGACCCACATGGACCGCAGGGTGAGCGCCCCCTGCTGGCCCCACTAACACCTCTTCCAGCAGCAACCTTAGAGTTCTCACATGTTTCAAGAACTTTGTGACCAGCATTTCCTAGTTGGTATTTGTAGTAGAGCATATAATAAAACTGTCCACTCATTGAATTCTGAAGATATAAGACACCCCAAAAGTAAAACCTGAAATAAAGACAAAAACTGTCTACAGTTTAAATATTTTATTTTTCCAGGGAACGTTAAAGACAAAGATGAAGTCAAGAGTACAACTCACTTTAACACATTCTCAGAAAACAGATTCACTGGGTTGACATTTCAAAGTTACTGAAACAGAGAACATGATTATTTTGTCTTCCATAAACATTTATACAAAAGAAAACTTAGGAATGTTCAAAAGGACCAAAACAAATTAACTAATTCAACAAATCATATGGAAATTAAACAAAGCTGTTGCTTTATCAAATAGTCGCATAGACCGGGTTTAAAGATCAGCTTTTGAACCTGACCAAGTGTTGCTCATTTTCCAAGAGCAAACCCCAATGGAAAAGGACATACCACACTCAGCTGCAATTAACGAACATGAAAATCAACTTATTTAGCGCCTTTTTAAGTATTCAGCTAGAGGGACACAGCTAATTTACTTTCACTAACAATGTTTTGCAGCTTGTAGTTCTGCACTCTGGCTAAGAAAAGGAAAAACAAAATAGGACAGCAAACCAGTAGAAGTCAATTAAAGACAGGCAAAACCTTCTCCCTAGGTTCGAGAGTATACATTTATAGTGCATGCATCGTAAACTAGCAGAAGCCTGATGTAAACTTAGAGTATGAGTAAATTCCCAAGTCTTTCAATAGATCCAATATATATTACCCATTATCCACAATACAATAGGATCTTGAAATTTCAGGCTGGTATAACTTTGCATTGAAACGTCAAACAAATCATGAAGAGCAACACTGGAAATGACTGTAAAGTTTGGGCTTCCCTTATTCTTCAGCTAAGGCTCACTTCATGCTTAAACAGAATATAATATCCACGTCAGAAGGAGTTGTGCAGTTTGTGTGCATTACATTGTGTTCTACTAAATCCGTCAGCCAGTGTATTCGACTTCCAGAGTCAATGTTCCAAAAGGTCCCCCATAAAAGAAAAAGATTAATTAGATGAATACACAGAAGGTTTGCCAAGTGTAATCACCTAAGAATATACACAATAGTGGAAAATGAACTAAAGCAAAGCAATAAGATAAAGAGATAAAGCGGGGTCCGTTTGCATTGCAGATGGGATTTTTTTAATTAAGAAGAATGGTCTTTATTCTACAATATCATTAACCAGTATGCAAACAAACACCCCAAACAAACAGACTGCAAATATTAAAATGTCTGTATAAAGTATGACCATAAATTTGAAGAGGGGAAAAATGTTATGCATTTAATCCAAAATTACTTATTACTTATTATGCATCTGGAATTGTGTTTGGGTAGAGGATATCCCATATATGGTACCATATTCTATGGTACATGGAAGGAAAACTGAGTGCATCACATGTACAACACCAAAATACCAATAAAAAGTGTATATACCTTCACTAATACATATTTTCTTGGAGGTGAGAATTTAATAGCAGTATAGAGACATCAACACAATTTTCAAAAAGCTAAGTGATATTAGGGAATAAAGTACAAAGTCATATGACTCAGAGGGAAACTCCAGCTGTCATTACTTTTTACAATTAGGCATCAACCTGATGAACAGATAATCTGTTGAGCCACTACAAGTAACTGAAACATCAGAGCAGGCAAGCCTTCACACAGAACTACAGTCAGGTTTATTGAATGGGCATACAGGAGCTCTTCTCCATAAAGATAGTAAGTCCTTAGGCTTACTAAGAACAGACAACTTTGAGAGCTACATCTATTTTACAATACAATACCTCATGAAAAACAAAATTCCAAGTCTTATGGAATGGTTAACACCCCATGCTTCAAAATATAAATACATTTTAACCAGATATGAAGCGTCAAACATTTTCATATACTATTTTCTCTCATTTTTAACCAGTCAAAACTGAAGAGTGTCTATCAATATACACAACTATTTAGTAAAAAATGTAGTATCCTGTAGCAAGTTCCTTTGAAGGGAAATTACAGTTCAGCCATTGGATCTTAAGACAAATATGCTTCATCTTCAGTACAATTTTTATCTGGGGTCTTATGATTATTTTTAAGTATCGTAAGTGCATAAATGTTTTAATTTTGAGAAAGTACATTTGCCAGTTTGTTTCAGGTGATACATTAGGCAGGCATTAAAATACGTTCACCAGCACAAATAGACTACAAGCCATTGTGATTTTATTTTTAAAAAATTTGCATTTTTAGAAATATAAGAGATGGTTAAATACTGCTTAGTAACATATGTCCATGTCCTAAATTTTAAATTATTCACATTCTTTTAATAGTAGCATTATTTACATGTTAAAACTTTCAGACTTACCAAACTTAATTAAAGCTGAGACAGAAGCTATCAATGCCCAACTAATCCTCAGAAAATTTAATAAATTGAAACAGAAGATGTAGCTTTTACTTATGTTTATTAATAAAGATTTCTATTTCCAAAATATGGATTCACAAAGTACAAACAAAACTACTACTTTAAAAAAAAAAATGGCTGAGTGTATAGTGTAAACCATTTAAGCTGTTTTAACCAGATGGAGGATTTATATTTTCTTATTCATAAGGAACTTGCCTTACACTGTTTACTAGTTTTAATTTTAACACTTACACTCCTTTAAGACAAGAGGGTGCAAATACGTTCATAAAACCACATATTTAATTCACAAACCAGTCACTCTTCAGCAAATGATGGGTTAAAAACAGTCACAGACGTGTCAGAAGAACCAAACATTTAAATAAATAAATGTATATACAATTCATCTGCTTCTCTTCTTCAGGACAGCAGCTTTATATCCTGAATTGTATGGCCTTCTTGCATCTTCTAGTCACCCATTTTTACCTTAGAGGTCTGGTAGGAATAAGAAAGTATTTTAGAAAATGTGCTTTTGTGGAAAAGAACAAATATACAGATTTTGTGACAGAACAACAAACAGGTAGACTGTTTTGACTTTAGGTCAAGGCTAGAACCTTAAAATGAAAAATAAGAAAAATGCCTTATTTCTCAAACAAGAGTTGCGGGTTTCTGTTTCCGCCCCAATTTAAAGTACACCTTAACAGACACATTGAAGTAGGATTAGATAAATCATAACTGTCCAATAGACAAGAAATAGGCCAAATGCAGGCCTCCACCTAGATCAGCCTTTAAGAATTGACTTCAGGACTGAAGAACAAAGTGGAATGTGTCATTTTTGCAATGACAAAGCCAAAAGGATAAAGGAGCTTCGCTTAGTAAAATTTGGGCTCACCAACTTGTTTACTTAATTTTTTACGGTCTCCCAGGTGGCAATCAACAATTACCAACTTACCGTTTCAACCACAATGCCGCACAGGGAGAATGAGGACTTGTGTATGCAAACACCCACTCATCAGAGCCACACGCCGTAGGACATGCTTCAAGGTCATGAGGTGGCTTGGGGGGGGAGGCACTTAGGAGAGAAGCATTACATGCCTCCCTCTCCCTCCCTAACCTAACTGCGAGCTTGCAGGTGCCTGGCAAGTCACACGGGTCATTGCTGCATAGTACCTCCACAGTCACGGCCACTCAGAGGCCATCTTCGCACACGCCTTCCAAAAGACATTAACCTTACCTGTAAGATCGCCACAATGACTCCGAACAACCCAATGGCACTGCCGAAGATTTCCACGATCAGAATCTTTACAAAGAGGCTGGCATTCTGGGCATCGGCCAGCGCGGCTCCACTCCCGACGATCCCAACACAGATGCCACAGAAGAGGTTGGAGAAGCCAACAGTTAAGCCAGCGCCGAACATGGAGTATCCTAATTACAAGAACATAAAAACAGAAGCATTACAAGCGAGAGAAGGGCACTCAAGATATCTCGGCTGTCTGCAGCAAATCACCATATTAGAAAAGCCATATTTCACAAAAAAACAAATGAGGTTAATACTACTATAGGAATCACTTATGTCCCTTTTTAGATAACCAAAATGCAGAACGTACATACTACAGGGAGATTAACGTAATGCTAAACATTCATATCATCCTTTTCCACATTAACACTGTAGTAAACACATTTTGCAATTTGCAGAGATCCTTCTCCACTGGGAAAAATCTGTCCTTCAGCTGTTTACTTCCCCCTAGTGTTCACTACTTGTAATTAGATATACAGTGCTTTCCGATCATGACAAATTACCTTCCAATTAATAGTGTTGGCAGTTTAAACAGACATTAGCAAGAAGGACCAGAATCTACTTGGCAAATCTGAAATGTAAGATCTTATACCAAGACTCAAGTGAAGCAAGAACAAATGAAGGGATCTATACAAAAGGAACAGGTAATTTAAAAGTTCTTAATATTATAGCTTCATGTCACTACAGCATTGGATGTTTTGCAAATGTACTGTCTTGTTAATGTATAATGCAGAAGATTATTAATTAGTATTAATAAATATCAGAAGATATGGATCTATTGCGATGTCTCTGGATGTGTGACAATTTCTTGTACCTGCTTGATAGTTCCTTACGCCAATTGTCTCCGGTGTTGTTCCACTGAAGTTCTACAATTAGACAGTTAACATAAGAAGAGTTACAAAAGCTTATTAAAAAAAGATTTGACTTACTCAGAAACATTAAATATGAATTGATAATACTCGTCTGATTTCTCAGAATTGTTTTGCATCCAAGCAGTTATGTTGTATAGCTATTCTATACAGAGACCTACAAAAAACAGATAGATGGCACATACTATATTGAGATCACATTAAAATCTAATAGAATTACATAAAAGACCCATACAGTAAACTGGCCTTATGCAGCACTCCTAAAGGAATCCACACATCATACCAGAACCTGTAAGCACACTCCTTCCACAACCACTCTGAGTCCCTATAATTGCACAATACTCCTTCATTTTTGCACATAACCACTAACTGTATTTGTGCATAAACCAGTGTACTGCTTTGTTGCAAGCTCATTTATTGGATGCGAGATAAAGGAACTCCTCATTTTATTATTTCAGCATCGAAGGACTCTAAAACGTCTGTTTTGGCATACGTTAGTATTCTTCATGCATGTGAGGGATCAGAGGAGATACTAAAAGCTCAGCATTCTCTTAGTGTAAGCAGTTTGAAAGCTCTGCTCCAGTGGCAGCCCCACTATCTTAGAACACATTCTCATGAGTTTGGACATCTCTGCCTTTTGTTGCAGAGACAGACTGTTATACCAGATGGTTATTCCATCCTGCATGTATTTGTCTATGTTTTTAGGTTCTGTGGCACACAATCTGACTGCTGACACCAAAAACTCGAAACCTGCATACAGGTAAATTTATAAGTAAATTCTCTGTTGTAATTTATTACAAATGTACAAATAAATGTTACTTCCAAGACAGGTTAGCATCTATGTATATATCCCAGGTATTTATAGGATGCAGCTTGCTTAATAAACTCATTTTAAATTATGACTGGAAAAGTTCTAATTTATTGAATATTGAATATTCTTCTTGTTCAAAAATCTTCAATTTTTCTAGTATTTAAAACCAAGGGATTCTGGTCACACCCACATGACCACACTATTTACACTGTTCTGACACAGATTGGGGTGATCATTATGATTAATCAGAGAAAGTAATATGGAATTATCCGAAAATTTGATTATGAATTGGTTTAGACCACTGGCAACGCTTATTCTTATAGAAAATGGGGAGCAGTGGTGAACTCACACTGAGCATATCATTAACTGTATCCTGCTGCAATTATGCTTTTTTTTTTTGTACTGAATGAGTTTACCAAAATATCAGAAATGGGTCGACCTGTAATTGAATGATTTTTTATGATGAAATGCGCAGTCGCAATGAGTTAAAAGCTGAATTTAAGGAAAAGTCAATTTGCATAGTGTTGCATTTGTCCAGCTGCTTTGAAAAAAGGTGAGTGAGGGTCACTACAGCATCTTCTGTGTTTCGCCCTCGTTTGACTGACTGGGTGAGATTCAAGAACCAAGATCCTCTCCAATGACTTCATCCAAACTGAATCACTGTGTTCTCCAGGACAAGTTTCCATAGGGAGGGTTTAGTGTATGAGATTTTCCATACTAAAGCAACAGTATGCTTGACTACAGACAGCTGCAAAAATTGGTTGCCACACTGGAGCCAATTCTCTTTCGAAGAATGTCAAGATAAATGCACTTGATGATAAATGATAACCCCTCGCTGAACTGTTAAGTGAAACTGACTTTAACCTCCAGGCAAGACAAGACTCATGACAAGGGGCTGGATAATGATCAAATGACACCTACTGTGAGATCAGAATCAGACCATCCTGGGATATTTCGTAGAAGACAAGATATCCACATTCACTGCATATTACATATAATAAGTAAGGTCTCCTCTATATGTTCAACATTATGTGTCCAATATAACTAGAGCCCTGAGTCAATATGATAACATGTTTCTTTGATAGTGCTAATGAAGCAGAATATCAACACATTCAATCAATATTTTGTAATATATTTGAGTAAAATCACAAAATAATACAAAAACTGAACTGCTTCTATTGGAATCCCCGTTTTTTCTGACTTGAAGCTACTGCCTCCTATACGTCAGATACTGCAACCAGTGACTATGGTTGTCAAAGAAATTCATACTGCAGCCGTTACAAATTTGGGCAAAAGTAAAGAAAAACACCGTTGTAAACTACTTTCTAGATAATTAACACTTCTATAAACAATAAAACAGGTTTCTTTCTTTGACAGTTGTAAAACTTACCTCAGCCATATTACTGATGACAATTGCCATAATGATTCCATAAATGGCCACTGCTTCACAAAATATAATGCTGTAAATAAAAACAATGCAGAATAGAAATTTTCAATGACAGCTGTATCAGATACCGTTTAAAATGACTGTCTAAATTAAGCCTTCAAACAGAATAATAATGCCCTTCACAATTAGTGCTAAACATTAAATACAGCTAAAAGATGATTTGGGTGGGATGTGAATAAGCTATCTTTATAATACTGGAGAATTAGTACCTCTACACACCTGATCCTTTTTCACATTTGAGTTTAACGCATTAGCCAAGTAGCATCCCTACCTATATAAGTATCAAACATTCATTTATTTGACCTTAACTGTCAGAAGAAAAGCTTTGAAAACATTTTTGTTTGGGTTAACTTGCATTAGACATAGAACTGAAAAATATTTATATTTATACATTACCATGCTATTCTACAGCTGCACTCGCAGAGAGACCTGAAAAATGAGATCTGCACATACCTGACAAGGTTTTTTGTTTTAATCCTTGGGGCTTTGACACCACCTCCGATAATGCTAGAGCCAGTAATGTAAATTCCCCTACAAATAAAGAAAATAATGCAAATACAGCTCAAAGGGTAAATCTCATTACTTCATGGAGCAGCAATTATATTCTTTTTCTGAAATTGCATTCTTAGAGTGCTGTTCAAGGCATGTCTAGGGACTCCTGTAGTAGGATAAGCAGGGGACTCATTTTTTGAACACTCATAAAAGATAGGATTAAATCATACTTGCAGTACATAAACTTGTCTTTCCCAAAAAGTGCATAATAAACCAGTAAACTGCATACACAAAAAAAGGAAGCTGATGCATATTGTCTAGACATTTGGAGTTAATTATAAGGATACTGTTACTAAACAAAGGGACTTAATCATGACCACGAGAATCTTAAAGGCTTTAAAATTATCCATTCATGAATGAGGAACTTCCCGTTTCCAAGGAGCCCTCATTGAAAAAACAAAAAGAGACGTTTACAAGCTTTTAATTTCAATTAAAAAACAGCTGCTGATGAGATTCCAAAAACCGAAATGAAGACTGTGAAATGTTAAATGTATGCATTCATATCTGAATCCCTGAAGAAATCTGATTCTAAATATCACACATTAATACACTTTTCCAGAACTACACAGAAGAGGAAAGAGCTTACCATGCAGCACCTACTACAGACAGGGAAATGGCCAAGCCAATCCCCAGACTAGCCCACATGAAGGGGGACGTCTCCGTCAGGAACCTGAAAAGCAGCATAGAATGGTTGACCCACTGCTGTTGGTGTCCTTTTTAATAGCTCAGTTTCAAAGAAACCACTGCAAGTTGTTTCACAGTGTGAAAAAAATCATTTTTTAACTTAGTAATCCCTGCTACACTTTACATCTCAAGGCCTAGCAGCACAGTGATAATAATTATAATAATTGCTTAAACTTATATCGCTCTTTTCTGGACACTCCACTCAAAGTGCTTTACAGGTAATGGGGATCCCCTCCACCCCCACCAATGTGCAGCATCCACCACCAACCCAGTACAGCTGGGTTTATACTTTAATAATAAAAATTGAACATCTGAGTGTTTTCTGGGCAAGGCCTACAGACAGTAGATGTCCAAGAGTCCTATATTAAGTATTTAGCAATGCGACGACATTTCTCTCTGGAGAACACAGCCCACTGTCACATAGGAAAGGCTCTCAGCATCATGTTTACCAACATTCTACATTTCCCCATTAGTTTACCAACCATAACCAATTTTTAAAAAGGTGCCTTAGTAGGTACCAAACATATTTCAATGCTAGAAAAATAATCTATCTGGATACACATTTGCTATCTCATATCTGAACACTACTGGAAATTTGTTAACCAAATAATTTTCTTCTGCATCTATTATGCAGTATGCATTTCCTCAGAGTGGGATCCGAAACACTTTGAAAAGGGTTAACTGCAGGAAAATCCAGATCTTCAATGGGGGAAAAACTGCAGAATAAAAAGAAGCAGCAACTGGAGATTGCCAATATTCACCATTCTAAACTGCACCTTGCTAAGGATGTCCTAGAACAGAACACCAAAGGTTACTCCAAGGTGGACACCAGCGGGGAAACTTAAATCTGGGTGACCAGAAACACAGCACAGGACTGTGGTTAAAGGACTGGAAGATTGGGCTTACAGACTACAGCACGTTAAGTATGAAGTGCACCGCCAAAAAGGACTAAGTCAAGTTAACTTTGACTGCAGCACTTATTTCTTTCACTTTAGAGATCGTATGAAAAATCCAGGATGCTTATTTTGTAGAGACACATACATTCCATTAAAAAACACCCCATTCTTATTATTTTAGGAGAACTTACCAGCCCACATCAAATCGAAATCCAAGGTCAAATATTGTATAACAGATACCTGCGGGAATTAAAAATATACTCGTAAAATGTACTGCTATTTTCACAGCCTTTTGCATTTTAACAGAAGCATTTAGAAAATTAAATGTTATGAATGTTGCACTTTTAAAATGGCTAAGAAGGTAGACCTTTGCACCTGGGGAGTGTATCTTGAGCGAAACAACTATGACCCACAACTAAAGTAAAGATATTTACTTTGGATTCGGATGCAAATTAATATTAAACTCCAAATACCGTTGGCAATAACAAAAAAACAACAACAAAAAACTTGTGTAAAACTAACTTTTAACTTAAGTAATTTAAAGTAAAACCCCAGAACTAGAATAGCAGTCATGGAATAGATCTGATGAACCAGCCCTGCCTCAAACACTGAAGTTTCAGTTCTCAGTTTGATGCCCTTGGTTGCTTAAGACCTTTTCCCTCTTGCAAATCTATTTCAAACAACAGATCTCGGCTGCAATGTGGAAGAATGCTTAGGGTTTTGGACTCAGAATTAGAATGATCCCAAGTTCAAATCCTAGGTGAGACACCTAGCAATTGTTCTGCAATCTTAAGATTTATATTGTCATCTACAAAACACAAAAATATTTGATCAATTCCTGCAGCTTATTATAAAGTACTACGTAATAAACTCAGTATTGTTATAATACGAATACTTTGCACAATTACTGAAATATAAAATGATAATATTATCTAACATTTTTAGATTACGTGATTCTAGTGGGCTCAAAGTCTGAAACTGACCTTCAAAGCTTCCCTTCTTATATCACTTCCTTTTTTATAGCAATTTTTATTAAATATACCGGGCACAGAAACATGTTAAAACTGGCATAACTTCTTCGATCAGGTGATTAAGCCCGGAAGATTGTGTTCCTTCAGACATAGGACTGGCAATCCTGCACATACTGTAGCTGGTCAGTAGAATTAGCCGCATAAATATAACCCTTCGAACCAGACTGCGAGGTGCTTCATAAAAAAACTTTTCCTTTTACCAAGTTGACGTTTTTGATTGGCCACCGTTACCGGCCCTTGGGAAAAAAAAGTATATACACCTAGAACAAAAGAGTAACTACTCGGGGTGGAAGACAGAACAGAAGTCTTTCCAGGCCAGGACCTGAGCTGGAGACCCCTTGACGGCAATGCCCGTTAAGCGTAGGGCTACAACCTCCTTTTTTATAGTGTCGCTTTTCAACCCTCCGTTTTGATCACACGCTGGACTCTCAAAAGGTCGCGTCAAATACACCACAAAAAGCCCGAATGCCAAATTCCCGACCAACAATGACATGAATTGAAACGACAAACGCTACTACTACTAATAATTGCACGTATTTCCTCGCACGGTGGACTGCCAAGTCAGATATTAACTCGTAGATGAGCAGACACTTAGCCTCTCCGGGGCTATCAGAATATTCGTTTTGCTTCGTTGACTTATTTTCATCTCCAGCCGAGCACTGTTGTGAAAAACCCCAGATCTCCGAGACTTACCGACGATGAGAATTGTACTCCAAAAGGCCACAGTGACCCCGGTGTAGAGAATGGCTTGTCCGTTCATGTTGCAGTCACCTCCAAAAAAAACGCAACAGGCACAAAAGCGTCTTTCCCTGCTATTATGCGTTTATTTCGGATAATTCTTAATATATTCAATTATTTCTGACTACCGACAGCTTGCTCCGACTCCCCGACTTGAAAAGAGGAAGAGGCAGAACAGGAGTCAGCTGCCGGTCATGTGACGAACGGCACCTGGAACATGTGACCCGCCTCGCTGACGTCATCGGCCGGTGTCACTCTCTCCATGGGGGTGCCTCTGAAATGTTAGTTCTTATGTATTTCTTTTGCCCGTCTCAACAGTAAATAAAAGCTTACTTTCGTTGCAAAAATAAACGCATATTAGCGTCTCAGACGGGAAGCACTGCTGCCTGAATGTTTAATACAATTATTATTTATTGTTAAGAATACCTGGGCGTACTTGTGAGGATTTATTTTGTATATAAATCTTATATGGTATCAATAATATCTAACTAGGTGCTACGTAGTTCACTTTATTTTCCATCTGTTGCACGCAATGGGAATGGAACTGCAATAATACATTATTATTTTAGAACAGAACGTAGAACAATGTCTACGATACAGATAAGGCCCTGGGAATGGTGGTAGCTGATTGGTAGCCTCATACAGAGTGCCCGCCTCCTGTCCGCCATTCCCGGAAGTTCTCACACGCCGAGTCCATGCGCTATAGAGAGTTGCTCGTTACGCTGGTGAGTTGTAACATACTGTAATTTAGTAAACACAGGTTGTCTGTGTTTTGAGTCAAATGTATACAGGATATTTTGTGTACACTAAACAAACTTCGTTATTATCTCAAAACATTTTTTCGCGTTGAGTTTTTTTTTTACGGAATGTGTCTGGCGAATTTAAACTGTAGATTTCGACAGTCCTAGTACAACCGTAGATGAGTTTTGATACCGAACCACTCGTGGATCGTGGATCTGTCTGTTCGGAAACGACTGATGATGTGATTAACTGGCTCTGAGGATTAAAAGTTACGGGCTTTATAATGAAGTCCTGCTGTGTTCTCATTTAACTGTTCGGATATAGTTTGATATGGATAAACGGCATGTGTATGTAGTTTGAAAACTCGCCATGCTTTTTATAAACAGTTGTAACGTCTGTCCCATTACGCGTCTACAGCTGTATGAGACCCGCTGGTCAATTCTGATCCTCCAGTTCTTCGTTCTTTTTTGTGGCCTGGACTTTATGGTGATGTCTAATTTCAGGATGAAACATTAAGTTTTGAGGTCCGAACCTAATAATGCATGATGACAGCATTTGAGTACAAGTGTTCAGTCTTGTACAGGTGCACTGAGTTCTCATTAGCTTTACCCTTGACCTTTGTTTAATCCTGAGCATTAGGATGAGAATATTTGGTTCTGTTTAGATGTACCAGGGGCATAGTAGGCATATTTGTGTCAACAAGAACTGTAGGAGCCAAACAGGTTTACAACAAACCTGGTGTGTTGATAGTATTAATAAAAAATACTGTGACTGAGCTTTAAAGAATGTTTTTATTTCATGGATGAACGTCTTGTCCTCATTCCAAAAGAGGTTACAGGAATTCTGTATATCCAGCTCTGTGATTTGTGACTGTAAGCCCATTTTTGTAGACGCCTAAATTAAGAACTACAGAACCCACTAGTTACAAATTTTGTTAATAAACGTTTAACTGCAAAGTCAACAATATCACCCACAAGCGACAGATCTCTATTGCATGTCTGTTGTTTCCGGAAGATGTTGTCCTCTTTGCCTCATCTGACTGCGATCTTTGGGCGCGCTAGAGAGGTTTGACACAGTCAGGGTGATGGTCAGCACCCCCAGATCTGAAAAGGAGAAGATTACTCTCTCCTAGTGAGGGAGGAACACCGTGACCTTCACCAGTTAGAAAATGATGATGTTGAGCTTCAAGTTGATATTTTTTCCTTGTAGAGCAGTTACCATGGCGGCCACATTCAGCAGTGATGGTGCCCAGGTGATTCAGCGGTCCCTGAGTACCATGGCAACAGACAACTGGACACCAGCTGAAAGCTTGGATGAGGTGTACCAGATTGAGGAGACCTGTAGTTTCATCACAAAACATCAGTTCCTCAAGGTTTGTCTTAGGTCATGTTGAGGTCCTTTTTCCAGGGCTGTTATGCCACCAACAGTGCTAATGGTCATCTATCAAGTCATGATTTCTCTTATAAGTAAAGGGAAAAATCCATACAAGCAAAAGCAAACAGTTATCTAGTTATCTTCTTTTAGTGTAACCCTCAAACTGTGGAATTCTTAAGTTTGTCCTTGCATGGATTTTTTGTGACCCTATTCTTTTATATCTATGAAGGCTATTTGTTTTAGAATTCAGAAACATTAACATCTGGGAAGGTGCCTGTATTTGCCAATGTCTTTAGTTTCGGCATTGATGGGTTGCAGTTCAAAGCAACTCACCTATTGAAGAGAAAGTGCGGGAGACCGGTGGAGACAAAGAAAATCACAAAAAGAATGTCTTTGGATTGAACTTTCTGGGTTTTATTGTCATCATAGATGTTTAAATATTCTGAGTTGATTTTTGCTTATTCAACTTATTTTGTTGCCTTCACATATTGAAATTCATACTCTGTTTTGCCTTATTGGAAATTTGAACAAAGTTGACATGTGACATTAATTACTTTGCTATTCTGTAGCTCCTCATTTCTGGCTAAACATGTTGCAGTTTTTTTCTAATTTCTCATCTCTGTTCCTGACAAGATGTGGTTTCAGCATAAAATAGACAGAATGTACACTAAACAGCAGGCCCACCATTTACAGTTTCCATCATATAAAAGCAAGGTTAATTCTACTCTTCGGCAGTGATTGAAAAAGGTTTCCTCTTAATTAGGATACAGAGCTGGCTTAAAAATAACTACTGAAGTTTGTAAAGGGAGGAAGAGAGATGAAAAACAGAAAGGTTAAGCTCCAAGCATTATCAACTAATGAGAGCAAGGGCAGAAAGAAACCAATTAAAGTGACAGTTAATTCTGTTAAAGCTCATTAGTTTCTGTCTTTCAGGTTGCACTGCAGTTCCCAGATGACCTTCTGGCTGATTCGGTTGCAGTAGCTTCCAAGCTAGAGAAGGGCACAGGTGCAAAAATGTACATTTTAGGAGACACATCCTATGGCAGGTGATGGTCCTCCTTGTGACTTACTGATGATTCTCGCAGTGTTTAAGCCACAGAGGATAATGAAACCCCAAGAATGAAACTGTCTCGAAAACAAAAGTGGGATAATGGCATTTAAGTTCCATATTTATTTTGAAATCACTGAAAAGAAAGGGCTGCTCAGTCATTAATTGGGGTGACATACCAGTAATGTGGATGGATGAAGTCTCTGGGATACCGTCCTGATAGGCACTCCAAAATGCTCTCAGATAAGGCGTCTCTTGATGACTGAAAAACAGAGGCTTATTTTCTGGAAGTCTTTAATGAGGCTGGCCTCCCACCCTTTAGGAGACCTTGAGTTAGTTTATGCTTTGTTCGTCTGTTGACTGGGAATTCGTCTCAAGTTGTCAGTTACTGTATTTTTAAAAGGGCTTATATGAACCTTCGCAGCCCCTTACTAGAATCTACGATAAAAGTGAAAGTGAGTTCCTTTACTACGATTGTAAATCCGGTACGATTATAAACACTATCACGAAGTGTTTCAGTCCATGTGTTTTATGTAACGCATTCACTTGACTATTTCGTCCGATTGTGTTGCAGCTGCTGCGTGGATGAGGTGGCAGCAGAACACGTTGGCGCCGAGGGTATCGTTCACTATGGCAGGGCATGCCTGAGCCCCTCGAGAAGGCTGCCCCTGATGTATGTGTTTGGGAGAAGACCAGTTAACCTTACGAAATGTGCCTCTTCCTTCCGAGAACTCTACCCTGACAAGCAGAGTCACATAGTTGTACTCTATGATGTGATCTATTCCTTTATCGTGGGTAATCTGTCAGCCTAATACTAACTTTATTTACTTTAATCTTTGATAATGATGTAATACGGCAAGAAAGCTAAAACTTTTTGTGGAGGATTAAAATCTGTTTTCTTTATTGAAGCCAATTAGCAATCGAGGACCACTACTTTGTCGATGAAGCATTTGTCACTTATTACTATTAGCATATTAATAAGGAAATTTTTATTAATGAGAATAAATCTCTGGTATGTAATCAGACTTTTTAAGTGTCTAAATGAGTTGTGGAGTCTTGTGCCTAAAGCGTTTGTCAAAAAAGCCATTTGAATTTCTGTCTTCAGATGACCTTCTTGAACTACTTCAGCCTGAATATCCCAACATGGTCATGTCTCGAATCAGTGTGGAAGGAGCTGTGTCCTCCAGTCTTAAAGAAAGAGATGGGACGCATGAAGAGGCTGAAGGAGCAGGAGTATTCCCAAACCAGACAGGGGGTCCACTTGTTCACAAATTTGGGCGTCAGTTCAGCCTGCAAGCCAGCCTCAGCCTGGAGGACTACAGCATGTTTTTCATTGGCCAGGAAGGTGCAACCTTGACGAACTTCATGATGACCTTGAACCGCTGCTCGTTCTGTTCGTTTAACCCAGAAACGGGTGTCGGGAGGTCAGAGACGGTTAAGGTTAACAAGTCTTTGATGAAGCGCTACTACTTAATTGAGAGGGCCAAAGACGCCAGGGTTGTGGGAATTTTAGTTGGCACTCTTGGTGTGGCAGGTTACCTCTCCATCATTGACCACCTGAAGGAAGCCATTAAAAAGGCAGGCAAGAAGAGCTACATGTTTGCGATGGGGAAGTTAAATGTACCAAAGCTGGCGAACTTCCTAGAGATTGATGTGTATGTGCTGGTGGCGTGTTCAGAGAACTCCCTCCTGGACTCCAGTGAGTTTTACCGGCCTGTAGTCACGCCTTTCGAGATGGAAATTGCCTGCAACAAGAACAGGGAGTGGACTGGAGAATATGTTACTGACTTCAGGGACTTGCTGCCTGGTAGGTTTTATTCCATCTTTGTTGTTGATTCTAGAATGACATTCCTTTGCTTTTTGTATTTAAAAAAAAAAGTTTGTTTGACTTTTAAACTTTAGAACTTGGTGATGTCCTTGGGTGGTATACTCAGGATTCCACTAGCTCTTTTATGTACAATTTGAATGAATCATCTATGATGTTTATATCTCCTGAAACTTTGTTTTCTTATTCTTGGCATGGAATACCGATGCTTTTTTTCCTCATTTCTAGTTTTGTCATTTTACAGAAACATTTTCCTGTTTAATTTAGCATATCGGACTGTTATGTGTTTGTGTGCAGGAGCCTGTAGCTATGTGGAGTTCCTCCGGCCAGATCCAGACATCGATGGGGATGAGACAGATGTGTCCCTCATCACAGGGGCTCTGCGTTCCTCTGGCTTGTCTTCATATGAGCTCAGAGGGACTGATCCAGGCTCCTCTCTGGTCCAGAGAAATCAAGTCCTAACAGTGTCACAAGCAAATTCGGCAGGTCTGTCTAATGAAAATATAATTTTATAAATAATTAAATGTAAAATGCAGGGAATTTAAGTTATACATTACAAACAGTAAGATCATTTTATTAGCCGTATACAGTTTCTTGTATTCGGAATTTGTCTTTTCGCATAGCCCAACTTGCTCTCTATGAGACACATTGACAGGGAGAGGAGCTTGGGGTCAGAGTGCAGGGTAAGCCATTTATACAGCACCTCTGGAATGGTTGGGGTTAGGGGCCTTATTCAGGGGCCCAATGGTGTAGGATTCCTCTGCCTGCCACAGGATTCGAACCTGCAACCTTCTAGCCACAGGCGCAGATCCTTAGCCACAGAGCCACCGCAGCTCACAATAAACAGTTGTGTTCAAATAATATAAAAGTAATCACTTTTATTATTGCTAAAAAGGCAAAAAATTACAAGTTAAAAAAATGCAGAAAGATCATTTTAGGTAAATTTTCTTTTATTTAAGGTCACGTTTTACAGGGAATTCAGTACTAGCTGTGTTTAATTCAGACACTAGAGGGCAGATAGGGACCACTTTTGGAAAAAGCATAGCCCATTGTTTATACGGGTTTTAAGCTGTGCCTTTAGGCATGACAAATGTATTAGTCATTGGCTGTTCCAGTTGCATAACCAATATAAATTAAAGTAAAAAACTGAAAGAAAATATTGATGAGTTTTACAGAATCTAAATGATTCGGAAATACTTGGTATTGTTTGTTGCAGGTAAGCCATTACTGAGTTTGGCAGCGAGACTTTTTTGTATGTATTCATAGATCAGGAGAGAGATTGTTGTAATGTGCATTTTCTTGAATATGTTTTGCTCTAAAACTATTCCCTTCGGGGCAAGAAAACCGTTTAAGCTGCTGCCAAGAGCTTCTTACCTTTCATTTTCTGAAGCACAGGGGGGAGAAAGTGATCTTGTTAACGCCTGCTGTGAATAAAATGCTGTGTGGTTTGTCTGCTGGAACTGAGGTATTACCTACGTGAAATACGAGCTGTTTATGATCCTTATTTATTTTATACTATAAGACATACTGCATACTTTCATATGTATCGTAGAATTTTCCTTTTGAATTTTTACACAGTGGATTTAGTAAGAATAAAATTCTACTTGTTATAAGGGATACAGAAAAACAGGGTATATTTATGTTCAACTTGCCGTTTAGGGAAGCTGGATACTTGTCTTCTATACAAAAGCAATCTTTTTATTCCTTTATACTTATCGTTATTCTGGATTTTGCATTTAGAAAACAAACTTCTCTTTTAGCAGACAATAACACAGAGGGCAGGTAGTGCAGTGATAATAAGGGATGGTGTCGTAGAAAACTTCATTCATCTCCTGTTGGAAAGTAAACGCTGGGATTTTTTCTTCAGGCAGTCACTGTGCAGAGAAATGGGTGAACGGGGGAGTTGCATTCAATAAATAAAAAAGGTTCTTCACAAGAACAATGCCACTGAAAGAAAGTGACACCAGTTCAATAATGGTGTGTTTATGAAATGAACTATATTGATACTGATGTGCTGTTCGTTATGACACAGAATGCACCGGTTTGTCTTGCCACGAGCAGGACAGGAGGAGCCTCGATAGAACCCAGAGAATAATCGCCCGTCTTTGTTTCTCAGCTGCGTTGTTGGCCGGCCGCAGCTGGCAAGGGCTGGAGCAGAAGCTGGGAGAAACTCCGGTAACGAAGGCAGTGGAAGGGAGAAGAGGAATTGCCATTGCGTATGAGGAAGAAGGGGATAGCTGACTCTCCCCGCACTGAACGGCAAATGTGAGAACACCAGAGGAAAGGAGGAGGTCTTCCTGTTCGGGACCACAGGGCAAACACTTCCCTGTCGTGGCCTGCTCATTTTCACTGCGGCAAGTGGGGCAGAAAATAATAATAAAAAAAAAAATTGTAAAGAAAAGTCTTGTTCATTTTTCACTTTGACGTTTCTTATACTGATATAGGTCCATGTAACATGAGGAGAAAAGAAAATTGTCCTCCACTATTCCCTATAAAAGTTAATTCGATTTAAAATGAACTGAAGGATAATTGTTTTTAACACATTTTAAACTGCTCCTTGAAAAGGTTGAAACAGCATTTTTTGGCTGGTCGATCCCCCTCTACCCTCATGCGTGGCATGTCCCTGAGATACTTAAAGGTCTCCACCTGGGGCGGCTGTTCCTCCCTCACTAGGAGAGAGTAATCTTCTCCTTTCCAGATCTGGAATACAGCACTATAAATAAATAGATAGCTAGATTGATTGAGGAACACAGTGCAGCATTTGGTTCCCAAATGCAGGCAGATAATTCTGTACAGCAAATATCCTAATTGGATTTACATTAGAATGGTAGCAGATGAGCCCATTCAATTCATCTACATAGTGTTTAGTTGCTAGTAGCTAACTGATCTGAGGATAACATCTGTATATGATACTACGATATTACCAACCTCAGTAAGACAGGAGAAATCTAATGATAATGAATAATCAATATAATATACTGACTGTGGACTTTCATGTTGAGCTCTTTAGTAAACATTCATTAGAAGCCCCCTAAACTGCTGTTTATCATTATCTTCTGCTTTGTTTTTAGCCTACGGAGAAGTACTATTTATTAAACCCATTTTATCTTGGGAAAGGATATTGGCAATGGACGTGCATGGTTTTAAATAGAGGCAACTCTTTGTAGCATTGTCTGAGGGAGATCTGGATTACTACTGTACATATTGAACTGTTGCCTCCCGGGAAGACGGAACCTATCTTTTCTCTAGACTTACTTGCAGAGAGTAAAACTTTTATGAATTCAACCAATCTTGTAAACCCTTTCCAATGTGATCTCACTACTGTAGGTGACCTTGTGTCACAGGGCAAATACTGTGTAGAGACATCCTCTTTATGAGAGGCTGTACAGCCTCTGTCTCTGTCCTCAGAAGCTGTTTGTTATAGGCTGTTAATGTGATGTTACCGGAGGCTGACGATTATAAAACATTCTGCAGTTAGAATTCGGCTCTTGCCGAATATATGTCTTTTTCAACAAATGGTGCAAATTTGTAGAAGGCAAAATCAATTTGTACACACGGAGCAAGAAATATTTTATAAAGCTGAACTAATTAAAAATATGCGGTTGGTGCAAGAAATCAGTTTAGTAGAATCATGAGGGTATTTAATGCCATTTAGAACAAAATCCAATAACTTAATTCTGTTCATTTTATTGAATACTCACTAAAGTAATATCCCAGGCCAAGGTTTGCTGTCTGTTGAGAAATTAAAGGGCTGTTATTTTACAGTGGTGCTCAGCTAAAATGACAGAGACATTTTCTATATAATGATAACAAGCCCCACTGTGCCTGTTAGGAGCTCACAGTGATCACTGTCATCCATAACATTCAATTCCCCTAACAGTGAAGAATACAATTTATATTCAATGAAAAAGGCCAGAAATGTTTTCAGTTCTGCAGGTTTTTAAAGAGTTTTTAGAATTAGCCTTTCCACTCCAATTTACACGAAGAATTTCCAGACACTCTTTCTCAAGCTTTTCTTGCCTATCAAAGACTTTCTTCCCGAGTACAAACCTAGAGGTGGAGTGACTCTGAATACAGTGGGAGGGAATGTCTTTGAGATATTCTGAATGGTTACTTTACATATGGCCAAATGATGTCCCATGTCCCATTTTAGCTGTAGCCCTAAACCTAACTCTTACTTAAGGATTAGGCTTAGTGTTGGTACTAACGCTTCAAGAAGGAGTAGGGTTGGTTCTGATAGAATCTAATTCTGCATTTAATATTTGGCTATGTAACAGAATTTAATTCTGAGTTGAGGTTTGGGTGAGAATTGGAGATGGACCTAATGTTAATTTTTCCATTGCCGGTAAGGTTAGAGTATGGATTGTACCAGCTAGGGTTAAGGATTTGATTGAAGTTGGAAGACTTGTTAGTTCAGGTTAAGTAATCATACGTTTAACTTATGATTAGAGTCAGATATATACCAAAGGTCACCTTTAGGCTTATTGTAGCCTAAAGTAGGGTAGAATGCAGGGTTATATGTTTAAACAGGTATAGTATAAGAGATGAGAACAATTTTAATTTAACCTTAACTTTACGTATCCTGCTTTCTGTAGAAGAGCAGGCCCTTTAGAAAAAATAGTACCCATTTATAGAGTTGGATGAGCTGGAAAAACCAGGGTGAACCGTGCTGCTCAAGGAATAGAGGACTGTCCGCAGTGAGGATCTGAACCCACAAACCTCAAGCTACTGTAGTAGTGCCGAGGTATAACCAATCTATTCCTGCTCCTGAAGATAAAGAAAACACCTCCTTCAGCAGCCATTGCAGAGTGCACACTGGGTCCTGGATTATTCTCTCATATTTTAACTATTATGAGAGCAATTGCAAGATCAGCCTGACCTCACACAAGGTGGAGGGGAATGACATTAATCTTCTTTATACACATAACCAATGGCAATGATGAGGACTGTGATAAAGGGAACTAGGAACACTGCAAGAGGGGGGCACATACAGTATGACATTTTAGATAATATATGGATTTTATAAAGGTCTCTGGAATATCCAACCAATTTACCTGGATTCTTTTATAATATTTCTGTACAATGCAAACTGACATTTAAAAGTAATAACAGTTGTTCGTTTCTTACACTATTTCATTAAGTACCGACAGACTCTGTAATACGATTTTAAAGATTTTTTTTTTTGCAATTTCTTTGAAATGCACAAAGTTAAAGATTATGGCATCCATTTGCTTTTCACATTGAAATTCTGCAGATCTGTCAGTGCATAATGAGATAAAACATTCCCTGTGCTTAATCCATGTTATAATTACCATCATCTCATACCCAGAACCCTTCATTGTGGATTTTTTCTTTTCATCAAAGCTAAACAACTAAAAATCATAGAAATAAACGTTTTAAGCATAAAATGTATGGTTTTATTAATCAAAACGGACATGGTTCTGTGCATATAATAGACCTGCGTTTTAAAACTGACCTCTGTGCTTGCGTAATTGGGTTTGAGATTAGCCTTTTCCCCTTTCTTCCAGAATGTGTACATTTTATTCAGGAGGAAACAAAAGAAAGCAATTTCTGAAAGTACTGGTTAATAATTCAATTAGGCCATTATGTAGTTTAAAATGTGACATTAAAATTGATCACATCAAATTTGACCTCAGCAACTGTACAGAATATGGAGTTTTTGTAATTAACAGATATTGGTAAACTCAGAATCTAATTCAGCTTGCCACCTGTTTGTAACAAATGTAGTGTTTATTGTAACAGTACCATATTTAATTGGAGGAGTGCAACTTCTTGGTGGAATACCAGTGGGATTCATCTGTTGTGGTGAGCTGTACATATCTAATTGTGTACGCCAGACTGTATTTGCCCTGTGAAAAAACAGAACACATTTTATCATGGTTTGTGTTGAGAACAAACCACTGAGAAATACAGAGTAGTTCTAAAAGTGACACTTTAAATTTGATGGTACACAGAATACAAAAATGATTTGTGTATTGTTCGCCTTGCGGCCCTCTGCTTTAAAGACACCTGACATGAGTAATTGGAATCAGAATCAGGAGTATTTTGGGATGTGGAAGTCATAGCTCATAGTCATTAGACTGGATAACAACAACCCTCCTGCTCCTGCTGAAAGGTATTATTTTTGCTGCCATCTTTCAATTTGAATTGTAATACCAGCAATGTATAGATAATGTATCTTGTGAATAAACTGCTGTTTTACCACAGCAAGCTCCCTTGCAGATGGTGTAAGGATGTTCCCAACAGATACATTTGCAATAGCAGGGTCTTGTTTTAAATAATATTTACTCATCCACCAAATTAAACCATTTTAATCTAACCTGCCCATACAGTAACATGCCTTCATATTTACATCAGTAAGTAAGTTATTTCAAGTCAATATTGGTTAAATTGTAGAAAGGAACTTGGTGAATAAATATTCTCAAAAGCATCACTTTTAAAACACTTTGCAAAATGATAGGCAAAGGTTTATAAATCATATGTAAGAAAGAGGATATTTGACTCATATACTGTAGCTCATTTGGTAGCTAGTAACAAATTGAAACAATGCTTTCCTATAGTTTCCACTTGTGTCTCCTGGTTCATTGTTTCCATAGATTTGATCCAAAGTGTACGGGTTGAACTTTGTTGATGCCTTTGGAGTGTAGAGGAGCACTAGGCCTTAGTTTTACCCAAGTCACTGTTGAATGGTAGAACAGGAATCTGATGTTAGTCTTCCTGCTGCCACTCTGGGGATTTATGAACAGCCCGGAAGGAGTGAAGTACCCTCCTGTCCTCTTGCTGTGGCATTGTTCATCATCTTGAATGCAAGCTGCTTTTCTGTGATGCCAGATCACTTAGAGCAGATCTGGACAAGGCTTTCTTTCATGATTGCCAGCTGCAGTTATCTTACCCTGTGTCATTAACATTTCTAATTATGATACAGCAAAGCGTTCTATTTAATAAAAATAGACTGCAATGATACTTTTATGGATCACCGTTTTGATCAGTATTCTCCCTTAAAGTTAGTTTAAATGCCCATTTATATATTGCATTACATACAGTAATATATCACTACATCTAACTGTTGCAAAGGCTGAATTCTTTAATCCTGGTACTGTCAGTGCTGTTTGTGTAGACAGACAGGTGTACTGTCTGTCATCATTCTCCCACTTCAAAGTTTGGAAGGGTTACAATACATTCCTCTTTCAGAAGTAGTAACACTTTTTCTGTCAAGAATGCATGTCTTGTCAGGAATAATTGATCCTTCCCACAGAAAGATAGAAGAGCTACTGTAGTCAAGAGGACATTTAACAGAATGTACCGTATAGGTTAATTTATTTACCTTAGCCAAAAAAGATTACTTTTATTAAATTTGGGATATGTATTTTTTATACTATGCAAG